TACTTAATTGAGTCATTTAAATAAAAAAATCTTTGGTTTGTCAAAAATTTTACTTACATTTCTTACATTTATGTGTATTGCCTTATTTTCATTAGGTTGAATTTTTAAAATGCTGCAAAGTTATGCTGCATTGTTACAAGGGGGAGGGGGGTCTCCAATTTTGTGATGCAACATTTTTTTTATCTAGTTTTAAATCAAGTTTTAAATCTAGAGAAGATTTTCGTTTAATTAAAAGAGTATTTGACCTAACCTCAATTCTCAGTTGATGTATCTACATGTTGAAAACATGGGTACAAAAATGTGCAGCAACAAAAAAAACAACCTTTGTGCAATAACTAATAAAAGAAAAAAACTTCAGCTTTGAGAGACAAACCTGGAACTCTTGGTTACAAGCCTGAAGCAGAATTCACTCAGTCACGCTAACATTGCTGGTTGTAAGAATATTATATTTATAAAATAATTTATGGACAACACTTTACATTTAAATCATTTAAATAATTTTTGACGTAAAAACTGCTTTCACAGTTTAGAAGGGAGTTCAGGTATGTTTGATCGCAAATAATTTTTTTTTTTTTAATGTCTATATAAAGATATTTATACAATTTTTATTTTTATTTATTTATGTTGTTTATATGTCAACCAAAATAAGATTACATAAACAAATGAAAAAACAATAATATAAATAATTTTAACTAACATCAAAAAAAAAAAATTTTCTAAATTCCCCTAATGTAAAAAAGTTTCAGTTAGAACCTTGCCAAACCAATGCGACAAAATAAGAATTTCTTGATAACATAATTCATTTGGTTAACAAAAAAGCACCAGAACTTTAGTAAATGCATGTAGTTTTAACTTACATAAAAATAAAAAATAAAAAAGTGCTTTAACTACTTGGTGTAGTTAAGGCGATTTACAAATTATTTGAATTATTTTATTTAAAATTAGCATGATTTTATCAGCCTATTATGTCCAAACAAGAGCTTTAGTTGTTATAATTTATTTTGCTTCAGATTTTTTGAATAATTAAAGTAACTTTTCTTTTTTTTATATAATTTTCAAAACCAAGTTTGGTGATGATGTGCTATGGAGTGGATGATGTGCTATGGAGTGGATGATGGAGCTATGGAGTGGATGATGGAGCTATGGAGTGGATGATGGAGCTATGGAGTGGATGATGGGGCTATGGAGTGGATGATGGAGCTATGGAGTGGATGATGGAGCTATGGAGTGGATGATGGAGCTATGGAGTGGATGATGGAGCTATGGAGTGAGATTCTAGATCCAAGCACATAGTCAACAAGCGCTGATCCGACGTGCATTGTGGAGTTTCCGACTGAACGTGTGTGTGAGTGTCAGCGTAGTCATTAGGTTATTGATCGCCGTAACCACAACCAAGTTTTTATTACTACCTGTAATAATGAATCTAAAGAAGACTATTTTGGAGTCTTTAAAACAACTCCGCTCATTGGGGTAAACATGAAATTAGTTAAAATCTTTTGAAAAAATTCCTTAATTATATATTGATCCTAGTTCTAATCGGTTCTGACGTATATTAACTATATATAGTTGTCAAAACACAATATTTCTATCAATTTTTACAAAAAATACCGAAATTCTGACCAAGAAAGAGCATAATATTAGGAAAATTTGCCAGTAAACAATCAGACCAGATCTTTGGTCTTGGTTTTTACGCTATGAACATTTATGTTTTATGATACCGCAAAATTCATTATTTTACAAATTTCATAATTTCATTTAACGGAAATATGTCATAGTCAACAAAATATCTTACAGATGCTATAATATTTTAAAATTGCCTAAACTACACAGAGTAAGCATCGTTAACCAAATTTTAAATGTAAAAATGCAACACACACACTAACACGCATACATGCACACTAAATCTTTTTAAATTTGAAAAATTATATAACCAAAATATATCTAGAAGTATACAAAATATTTATATCTAAAAGTATACTAAAGATTTAATTTTTTTTATCTTCTTTTTAAATATAAACTATAAAATCTAATTAAACATAAACATAGAAACTAAGCTGTCTACTTAAAATAATGGTGTTTCAAAAGTTATACATTTATACACATTTTACTTCAACAAAAGTTTCAGAGCAGGGCTTTGGAGCTGAGATCTAAAAATTAGCTCCGGCTCCAGGCTCTAACTCCGTTAGAATTTTTGGCTCCAGCTCCGGAGCGGCTCCGCTAATAAAAATTAATCAAAAATTCTTTTTAATGTTTTATGACAATATCTTAAGTACTATTAATATTTTGTTAATCAAAATCCTGATTCATCCTTAAAAAAATCTAAAATATCAGGTTTGAGTGAAGAACGCAGATCGCTTGATACAAACTTAAGAACAGAAAATAGCCTCTCTACACTTACTTGTAAGATAGGTATACCAGTGACCAAAATTAAATTTGATCCAGAAGAGAAGTGTGACTTATTTTTTTGTGAATTAATTTTAGTCTCACTTCTCCTTCTTTCTTTTTTATCTTTCTTTCCAAACTCTTCTCCATCAGAATTAGATTCACTTAAAACTGAAAGAAGTACTGTAGATAGCACAGCAGTATTTCTTATTTCTTGAATATATATTATATTTTTGGCATCTCTTTTATAAATTTTTTCTGCTATTGTTTTTAAGCCTTTTTTTGCTCTTATTATCTGGTTTTCTTCCCATAGTTTTCTATATCTAGTATCAATATAAACTGCAGCTAAATATATATCATTATTATTAGGTTTTTCTACTTGTTTCTGCATAGATTTTGAAATGTCTTCTGCAAATAGTCCTTGATTCTTCTCTAGGTCAGATTTCAATTTCAACTATTCCTTTAGGAACCCTCCTGGAGTAATGTAGACTAACTGTCACATCATGTGGATTCATTCCATATTTCAGGGCATAGAAAGAATATCCGATCAACTGCAGCAAATTGCTTACACAGTGGAGGCAAAAGTAGTTATCTTTCTATAATCTATAATGTAGAACCCCAGCGTGTCTCATTATCCAAAATAAAAACAACCTTGTATTGATTCTTTGTTAAAAAAATGTGAGTTTCTTAGTTTCTTTACAAAATAATGAACTTTTGCCAAAAGTTGGGCAATGTTTTTTTAAAATCATACTAATAGCTAGCTGCAAAGTGAGAACACAGTGCATCAGCTTAATGTCAGTGCACATTTGTTGACACCATTCTGGGATAATAAAGACTATATTTTCTTCATTCACTTTTTTCTTCATTTGTATCCTGTTGTAAAAATTCTACTTATTCTTAATCAAGCAAAGCTTCATCTAATATTTGTTTAAAATTATGATTGCTTTAATCATATTGGCTGCATTGTCTACACTTGCACATACTATTTGATCATTGCTGATACCAAATCTATATAGAGTATCTTCCACCATTTTTTGATAGCAGCAGGGTTGTGCTGTCCTTGTGTATCTATCAGTACCAAAGTTTTTAATTTTTTTTTCGCATAATAATATTGAATATTTATTTCCAAAGAAAATTTTGGAAATAAATATTCAATATATTATTTTGGTGTCAAGTGGCTGCTTCTATTTTTACATAAATAAATTTATGTATTGATATTTCCTTTATTTTAGCTTTCTTTTTTTCAACAAATTTATTAATCAAATTGCGTACAGAACTATGTCCAGTAGTGAATCCAAGAGTTTTTCCTAATTGGCCTGTAACCAACTGAAATCCTTCATCTGCTAATGTTTTTAACAAAACTCTATTATTCACTACCATTTTAATAATTTTAATTTTAAAAGTTTTAGCACTAACTTGATTTATTGATTAACTACTTGTGATAACAAAAGGATCTAAAGTAATCTGCTTAGTTTTTTTAGTATTAAAATCTTGTGATTGTGATAAAATGATTTTGAAGATTTTCTTTGGGCCATAAGGCCCATTTCAGATTCAACAATTTTATATTATGATAGATGTGATTTTTCCAATTGCTGTTTCATATTGTAAACTTTTGATTTTTGTATTTGCATGGTGCATGAAATCACTTAATCATTCAATTTTTCTGTAATCTTACATAAAACTAATTTTGTAGTTTTATCAATTGAAAAATACTTATCTAGAAACCTCTCAGGATATATTAAGTTTGAAGCTATTTTTATAAAAAATTATGAAAATAAAATAAATGACAAATTTTAAAAATAAGACAAATAATAAAAAAGATAGTATAAACAAAAGTAATATCAATATATCAAAAAAAAAAAAAAATGTTTAAAACCTTTTCCTAATTTTATTTGGAATTTACATGTTTAAATCTACTTTAAAAATGTTTTAACTAACTAAAAACGTTAAAACAAATCATGTGACTTAACACATAAAGTATTTTTTGGTTAAAGATTGTCCATAAACTACGTACATAAAGGATCGTAAATAAAGTACGCTCGAATGGGGAAGAGGGGTCAAGATGAGGGGGGGGGGGTGATGAGAGATAATAAAAAAAACTTAGGTACTTTATGGACGACCCCTTTACCGATCATTGACATTGTTTAAAAGAATTGTTTTAAAGTAATTTATTGCAATCTACAATAAGAACCACATGACATATTACAGAAAATAATTGGATAAAAATTAAATTCTGAAAAAAAAAAGTTTTTTTTTTTCTTATAAACCATACATTATTTAGAAATTATAAATATTTTAATGGGCTTAATTGTTTAAATTCTTTAAAAAAATCTCATAAAATAATAACATTATAGAAATTTGATATTTCAAAATATCAAAAGGGTAGAGTTGGCTCCAGAACCAGCTTGTGCAGGAAATATTTTAGCTTTAGCTCCGCTCAGCTCCATGTAAAATTACCAGCTTTGGATAGCTCTGTCTCCAGCTCCGGAGCTGCTCCAAAGCCCTGTTACAGTGTAAATACACATTTACACAAAGTTTTTTAAGTTACTTGAAAATGTAAAATATAATAAAAACTAAAAAAACTAAAACACTTTAAAATGTAACAACTAAATACTTACATAAACTTAAATTTCCATGTTCAACAACAATCTCAATCAATCCACCAATTGCAATAGTTTTATTATAATCTAAAAATATTTCTTATTAAAATCCATGTAAAAAAATAAACAAAATATTCATATATTATAACTTGTATAAAAGTTGTAGTCATATGACTGTTATGAAATAATAATTCATATAATAATATTAAGAATATATAATAAGACATTTAACCTAAACTAAAATAAGCAATGTTTTATTTAAAGTGAAAAATATTTTCAGAAGAGTTTGTTTACTTTTTTTAATAAAGTATATACAATTATTTTTTATTTTTTTACAAAAAATTGAAAAAAATGTTAAATATAAATGTTAAAAAATAACATTCAAACGTTTTACCATTATTAAAACTACAAAGATATTCAACTTCTCTTGTAGAACAGTTTGCCAAAAAACTCAATTTAGTGAAAATCTCCATTCCACCACTTTTAATGACAAAAGATAATTGATTATTTCCAGTAAGATTTACCTTTACAAAATGAAGTATTTTAACTGAATGCATAAATGTAAATTCACATTTACTTTCTAGTAAACAACTTTTGTTTTCTTTTTTAGTTATTTTTCCATAAAATGTAAAGTTCGGATAGTCAGAACTTTGAAGAAGACATGATGTAGTATTTATAATAAGATCTTTCCTGAACACAGCTGTAAAAAAAAAAAAAAAATTTTTTTAATATTTATATGTATATATATATATATATATATATATATATATATATATATATATATATATATATATATATATATATATATATATATATATATATATATATATATATATATATATATATATATATATATATATATATATATATATATATATATATATATATATATATATATATTAAATCAAACACTTTCCAAAATTTTTATTTAAAAAGCGTCAAGGCAGCATGAAATAGCATGAAATAGCATCACACATGCTGCTTATGCTTTTCCTTAAACATTTAAAAATAAAAATAGAATTAAAAAACACATAGTAAAGAAAATGTTTTATAAAATAAGGGTTACAAATAGATTACTTTGAACTATTATTTTCCCACTGTTTCCAGGTTTAATTCCCATTCCACCTCTAACACTTAGAGATTTAATATCTCCATTAAAATGAAGTGTGTTCAAACTGACGATGCCACCTGCTCCACCATTTGTACAATAAAAAGAACCCTTTCTTCTGCCACTGGAACCACCGTTTGCATGAATTGATACATTATCAGAAATCCTAATCTATATTTAAAAATGCTGTTAAAATGGTAAAGAAGCTATAATGAAATTATATTGTGTTAAATTTTTTTATAATATTTTTGTTTGATGATGCAAAGGCTGATAAATTATACAAACATAATTAATATTTTATTTTAAGCACAAACAATAAACTACAAGTATAAATTATGCAGATATATTCAAATGTTTTTTTTAGTTCAATAACAATTTATGTACTAATTATTATAATTAAAAATTATTTTGAAAATATTGTTATTTCATTAATGTTCCAAAATAAAAATGCCTTTTTTAGACTTTTTAGACCAATTAATCATTTTGACTAACAAATCTTTGCATTATAATTTATTATTTTTCTAAAATAAACTTAAATGATAATTAACAATGACTAGACAAATAAAGAGATAGCTGTATTTATTTTTATGTATTTTAAACAAACAATAAAACTTAACAAAATATAGACATAAAATTTTTTGTTAAAACAATCTTTCATTCTCACAACGCTACTTGTGCTTTTTGGTACTTAAAACTTAAATTTCGCTTCTAATGTTATAAAAAATTTCAAATTATTTTAAAGTATGAAATTTTATTTTAGTTTAACCTGTGTTTTGTTTATTTGACATAAGTATTACTAACCTAATTACTAACCTATAATTTGACATAAGTAACAAAAAGAGGTTGACAACAAGTACAACCTAACCATGACCATAATCCTGATAAGTATAGCAGTTAAAAATTTTTTGGTGATACATTAAAAACAAATCTTTAAAAATTGAAAGCAATGTATGCAAAAGAGACTTTTATTGTAAAAAAAAGTCTATAATGATGACACAAAAATAACCACTTTAATAACTTATCTTTTATTTTGCTTAATATGTTTTGTTTTTTATTATTACATTTTTCTCATTTTTTTCTTAATTTTTTTTCTTTTTTTTTTTATTGCAAAGTATACATGACAAATGTAGCCACTAAGGTTTGTGTTAATAGTTGTCAATGATATAAAATAAATAGAAATGTACAAAATTTTACTCAAAAATGAGTTTTAAATTAAAAAAAAGTACTGCAAATATGCTCACCTCATTAGCTTTAATTAGTATAAAACCCCCTGCACTTCCTCCACTACAATTGTTATCGTCTTGATTCTCATACCCATCAGCAGATATATCAGCATCTGACAAGAAGATAAATAAATTAACAATGATACCAAATCACCTTCATTATAATTTAAAAACATTAAGGTGATTAAATTTAGGGGTTTCATTTTTGAGCTTTTAAATATTGTTTTAAGACATCTTTTGTTTACTCCATATATAAAACTATAACAGATTATATAAATACTCCATATATAAAACTATAACAGATTAAATCAAACACTTTCCAAAATTATATTTTTATTTCAAAATAAAATTTTATTGTTATATAAAATATGTCAAGGTAGTATATCTTTACACACTTTAAAAATCTACTGTGAGTATCTTTTATTTAGCTTTTAACTTTCTAAGTTTCAGGTTTACAAAGATATTGTTTGACTTGCTAACTTGAAATTTCTTGTAGAAGATTTTCATTTTGGTAACTACTTACCCTTTTGGTAACTACTTACATTTTGGTAGCTTACTACTTACCCAGGTAACTGCAACATATATAGTTTACATATAGCTTACACTTTTTTTTTAGATTTTATGATTTTTTTTAAGCTAGTTTTTGACTATATGAGTGACACCTAACCTTATTAATGTGAGTGTGTTAATGTAAATTTTTCATATTTCATATAAAGACAAATAATTGGACATTTTATCATTTATTTACATTTTAAGAAAAGTCTTTTTATTTTGCTTTTATGAAAACTCTTCAACAGTGTTTAAATTTATGTCTCGAAAAGTGTTGAGGATGTTAAATATTTTTTATATACTTTAAAGTCATGCATTAAAGCCATATAAGTTTCAATTTTATAATAAATATTTAAAAAATAAGAAACATGTGTTTTCATTATTTATTTTGTATTTATATTGCTACTGTTTGAAATTTAAATGTATTTAAACTTACTAACAAAAAGATTGCCATTTACAAACAAAATAAAAACTCCTCCCCCATTTCCAGGTGAGCCTAAAAGATCAATTTGAGGACCTAAACAAAAATTAAAACCAAATTAATTCACTGTTAAAAACAGATTACAATGTATAAATATTTAAACAAATATGTTACTAAAAATAACAACACTAATACAAGATTACTACTAATAACTTGTTATTAAATAAAGATTTTACTCTACAAGGTGTTACTTTAGGCAATGGCTTAGTTCAAGTTCAAGCAACCCCTTCTATGGATTTACTTGGTTCAATTAAGATGTATTAAAAAAAACTATGAATATCAATATGCTTAACTACATATATATTAAAATTTTACTGTATATACAATAATTTTACAATATATACTATGATTTTACTGGTAACTTTAATAGAAATTAGTTTATCCAACAGTTGAATTGGAATGTGATAGAATTTACAGTCTTTTAGACTGAATAGATTTATGTTTTAATGAACTTTAAATTTATCAGAGTAATCAGCATATAATGATTTCCAAGCTTTTCTTTATATTTGTGACCCTTTTTTTTTTTTGGAATAAAGGTAAAACTAACATAAGTACCTATTGTGTTATTAATAGTAAGCCTATAACACCTAACCTTTTGTAAAGAATGTAAAAAAAAAAAAAAAGGATAAATAAAAAATGATAAAACAAACATATTATAGAGAATAAACATAATTTTGGAATCACATCAATATGTCCAAAGTAAAAACAGAAGAAACTGCTAAAAAACTTTCATCCAACTCTACTAATTCAGAATAATTTTTGTCTCGAGCATGAATCAGCGTTTTTTTCAAGTACAGGTAACCTCGTTTTCAAAAATACACATTAAATAAAACAAAGTAAGAAATAAAAACAAAAATGATTAGCAAAAATAACAGTAATAAATATAACAGTAAAACATAATAAGTATAACAGTAAAACATAATAAAATCATTATCCACATAATAAATTATATTAGCTATGGATAAAAACAAAAAAAAAAGATAATAAAAAGTATTATTAAGAGATTAATAAAAATGATAGTAAAATAGCAAAATAATAATATATTTAATTGATAATCTTTAAAATATTATCAAATTAAAAACAGCATCCTATCGTGTGAGCTTTTTGTTTAGATAACTCAGTTGCCTGATGTATTTTTGTCAAGAAACATTCCAAGATACTTTAGATACTTAGATGGAAAAATACTTTTACCATTTCTAATATTCACATTATCAATTTTTTTTTGATGGGTGAAAAATAATATATTCTCTTTTATTAGTGTTTAAAGAAATATATTATTATTGAAGCAATCCCACAAATAATGGAAATCTGAATTGACTATTTTATGTAGTAGTGAAAGTAATTTATTTATGAATAGAAGATTGGTGTTAACAGCAAAAGATGTACAATCGAATAAGTTGCGGATTAAGATAAATCTTTAACATATATCAAAAATAATAGAGATCCAAGAACAGAATTCAGGGAACAACATATTTAAAAACTTGTGCATTCAAAACCACTTAGCAATTAAGTCTGAGTACCATTTCAAGTAAACAATGAAAACCAATTATTAGTGATATCCTGGATACCATAAAATAAAAACTTTCAAAGAGAACCTTAAGATCAATTATATAAAAAACTTTTCAGAGTTCAATAAAATTCCACATACAAAAGAATCATTTTGAATTGCTCCTTAAATTCTTTCAGTATAAAAGTTTGGGAAGTAGACTGAAATCCAAACTGGCAGTTATATATGGTAGTTACAGAAACAATTATTTTTTAAAGAATTTTGCTGAAATTTTGATAATAATTATTAAATAACAATATTGATCTGTAGTTATTACAGTTAAATTCTTTTATTGGTGTGTATATATATATATATATATATATATATATATATATATATATATATATATATATATATATATATATATATATATATATATATATATATATATATATAATTTGAAAATAATTTTCAGTCACCGATAAAAACAAAAACTTTTAGTGTAAACAGGTTTTACAAATTGTCGAACCATTAAATCTCAATTTGCTAAAAATGAACTTTTAGTTTATTTCTCAACAAAGCTTTGGTTTTAATTATAGGATTTAATATGCTGAATATAAGTTTTATTTATTTTTACCTTAACAGCTGTTATAAAATGTGCGGCATTCAAGTCAAATGCACATTTGACTTAAACATGCATAACTTTCATGCCAAATAAACAGGGTGGCATTGAACATGCCCCCCCCCCTGTTTATTAAATTTCAGAAAATATATCCCCCTACCCGTATATTAAACCCCCCCCCCCCCGTTTATTAGATTTTGATATATATATATATATATATATATATATATATATATATATATATATATATATATATATATATATATATATATATATATATATATATATATATATATGTATATATATATATATATATACCAGTAATAAGAGTAATTTTTCGGTAGACAGTGCTCAATACAAAAGTAGAGCAAATATATATTATATTAAAATAATAATAATATACAATTAAATTTGTAACATAACTCAGAGTTTTACGCTATATGCGATTATCAGACGTTACCGTCTGATAATCGCATATAGCGTAAAACTCTGAGTTATGTTACAAATTTAATTGTATTTTATTATTATTTTAATATATATATATATATATATATATATATATATATATATATATATATATATATATATATATATATATATATATATATATATATATATATATATGTATATATAAATCTGTCTGTGTATAAAGATTTAAATATACTTGGAAATATACCGATAATGAAAGAGAGATTAAATAGATTAAAAGATACTGAAGAAAGATCCTAATCAATAAAACTAAGAATAACGGTTTGAATACTTTAATGACTGGAAGCTATGCCATCATTTAGAGAAAGTATAATTAACAGTACTCGGTTTTATCAATGGGTTTTAAGAATTTAGAATTAAAGTTAGTCGTTTTTTTAAAATATATTGCAAGTCAGCATGAAATGAATAAATTCTTTTTGAAATTCTTTGTGGATTAATTCACACTAGCAGTAAGCAACCTGTAATACGGGTTGTTGGTAAATAAAATTAAAAAAAAAACGCGTATAGAAAAGCCTAGAAAATGACGTAATTCGACTAATAATATTAAATTAGCGTATTAACATTATCAGATTATTAAAACTTTCATATATTTTTATGGAGTCATATATTAAGGAGTTGTTTAAACTTATTTACAAAGGATACGATATATTTAAAATAGAATACGATATAATAAAATATTCCTCATGCCTTTCCATCTAGCTCTCTAACTATTGGGATTATTAGAAGAAAAAAAAGAAAAATCGTTTCTTTTTGCTTCATCAGACTAGAACATTTCTATAAGTTTTATAATTATTTTTTTCAAGATTTAAATTGTTATTAAGGTTTTTTACTTGAGAAATAACTTCCCGGTGGGAAATCAGCTAGCGAATAGCTAGCTATAATCGTTATGATAAAGACAGCTATTTGGCCACAAAGATCGCTAGCTTTTTTAAGTTAGCGAAAAGCTATCGATATTTTTAAAGATAAAGACAGCAATTTGGCTACGAGGACAGCTAGCTTAAAGAGCTGAAGATCCACTGGCTATTGTACCTAGCGTCATATCGTAATAAAATTGTTGTCTAAAAAATTATGATATATTGTTAGGATATGTAGCTAGTGACACATTGCTACAAAATCGCAATGTTTAAAGTTCAATTATTTTCATAGTTATAATAGACTCAACACTAAAAATCAAAAATTTAAAGATGTTAAAGACATTTGCAAAAAATAAAATAAGAAAAAAAAATCGCTAGAAAATCGCTATAGAGCTAGCTATCGCTAGCTAGTTGCTAGCTTATTTCCCACCGGGTTAAATACCTTGTAATTTATTTTTATTGAAGATAAAATTGGTATGAAGCTAAATTATAGGTATAATCTGCAGCTTAAATCTTCAAGTTTAACCATTAATTACTAATTTTTTAATGGAACATACTTAATTAAATTAAAGTAAAAATTAATTTAAAATTCTCATAAGGCTTATTACTATGACATCACCATTGAAAATTTTTATGATTTTAAGTTTTTTTTATGATTGATCATTCCTAAATTCTTTACTACTTAGTTTCTTGAAATTTTGAAGAAAAACAAGGATTAATCTTATTTTTGAAAAGACAGGTGTATAGGAAATTGCAGCAAATGATCTGATAGTAAAGTAGGGTAATTCCACATCAAATCACCCAAATTTTTCAAGATTTTGAACCACAGGTCTCATATTTTCTTTAAACTTCTTTAGCTGTTGCATTTCATATAGAAAAGTTCACATGCAAAATTTTAGCCAAAAATGTTCAGCCGTTCACAAGATATCAAGGTTTTAATATAGACCTGGTTTCCCAAAATGACCTGGTTTCTGTGTCATTTTAAAAAAACATTTGCTCTAATAAAATGAAAAATAATGAAAATAAAAATATGAAATTTAGCATTTATAATGCTTTTATAATGCAGAATTCAAAAAATGCACTTAGAATGCTGAAATATGAACAGAACATGCTTTAAAATTAAAAACACACCTAATTTATATATTCAAACTTAGGGGCATATATCTCAAAACACCCCCGTCTAAATTTTTTTTTTTTTGCTTTTAATATTTTTAGCTACTTATTATCTTACTAGGCACAAAAAACCTAACTGGAAAAACAACTAAAACATATAGAACCATAGTTTCCAAGATACACCACTTTTATGGGTGCCCATAACTATTTTCTAACGAGGGGGAGGGGTGAGGGAACAACAAAATATTTTTAGTGATGTTCTAATTTAGTTCAATTGACCAAGAATACTTAAAAAAAAGCATATTGCAAAAGACATGGTGAAAACAACTTTTTTTTATTACAGTTAGAGAGGAGGAGAATAGTGTTTCATAACACCTGGCATTGCCATATCTCTGTCATTTAAACCATTTAGCCAATAAAACATATCAAACTACTTTGTATGAACAGTAGTTACTTAGTAGTGATAAGTTGT